CGTTTATGAAGTTCTAAAGCTACCCTATTTATAAGAAATTTGATAATATAAATAAATAAAATAAAGAAATATAAGATGTGTAATTGATTATTAATGTTCATTAATTATTAATGAAAAAGAAAATTCCAGCATTATCTAGATTTCCGCGTAACCTTTACTTCTAAGATATCTGCTATTTCTCAGATATCTGGCATATCTTACAATTCTGGTATATCACGTAGAACTGGCGTATTTCACAGTTCTGCCAGAATTGGCAGATATGGCAGATATTTGGCGTAGTAGATCAGGTGATTTATTCTGTTGTCATATGATTTGCGGTTGACTCTTCTATTACAATATTTTGAAAATTTATTTAAAATCAGTATATTTTATTTGTTAAAAATTAGTCTGTAGTTAAGATAAACCAATAAAAGGTTAATTATTCAAAAAAGGAAATTTTTTTATACTAAAACTTATAATATTGTTAATTTAATTATTAAATATCATAAATATCAATCAATGTATAAATTTAGGTTTAAATTTCCTATTATTATTTGGTAAAGAGTCTAAAAATTATAAATTTAAAAGTTAATTAATATATTCAATAGAAATTTTCATATTTTTATAATTATGAATTATCAATATTTCATTAATGTATTCAAAAGAAAAATACTAAAACACATATAATAGCTTATAATTAATTAAGCAATTATATAAATAAAAGAGATAAATAAATATTTGACATTATTTTATTATAACTATAATTTTTATTTACTAGCTTTGCTATTTTGATTAATCTTTAATAAGCTATTAATTCAATTTACTAAATTAAGTAAATTTTAAATATGTAAAAATATTTTTATTTATAGCTAAAAGATATTCTCAAAATGATACAATGCTACTTAAAGATTTTTATTTAATTGTATTTCCATTATATTTTATCAAATACAAAAATTATATTATTTTAAGATCTAAGTATAATTCAATTTTAATCAGGTAAATTGATTTAAATCTAGATATTTTATTATTAATAGTTATAGTATATATTTTACTGCTATAGATCATAAAAATTTATAAATTTACTTAATAATATGTAATAAAAATTGATGATCTTTAGACTGGATAAAAATCATGAATTATTAATAAAATCCAGCCCAAATTTTTTTATTTAAAAGCTGATTAATTATAAAATTTATTATAATTATTGATAAAAAAAAAAATTTTTAAAATAAAAAATTTTTTATTACAAAGAATAAGGATTAATTTCTCTATATAAATTTTCCATTTTTATATTTACAAATTATATTTTTTTGTGTTTTAAAAATAGAATATTATTAAATATATTTTTAAAAACTATAATTAATTGACTTTTAAATAAAAAAAATTGGCTTAAATTTTATTAATAATTCATAAATTTTTATATAGTTTGAAGATCATCAATTTTACTATATATTATTAAGTAAATTTATAAATTTCCACAATCTATAGCAAGAAAGTGTATCTGCTATATATTTATTATTTTTTCATTTAATAGTTTTGTTTTTTTATGTAATTTATCAAATATTATTTTTTTATAATTATATTAAAATTTTATTTAAGCAAATATAGTAATAAAAATTTTATTTAAATAAAATAATTGATAATTGTACTTCTTTACAATATACTCTTCTGATATAATATCTCTTATTAAAATATCCTACTACTTATTATATATACTGCTTCTTACAAAATACTTATAGGTATAAATCAATTTTTAAATTAGGAAAATTGATTTATACTTGAAGTATTTTAGATAATGTTTTATAGTAAAACTTAATAATAATAAAATTTTTAATTTAGGTTTTTAAAGATATAATATATAAAATAAAAATAAATACATAAAATAAAAATAAATTTTCTTTAATTGATATACTTTAATAAAATTTAATATAAATATAATGTTAAATTTTATTATTAAAATGTGATAATACTAAAATTAATTTAAAAAAAATAGATTAATTTTTTTAATTAAATTAATTTTATAATATAAAATTTATATTGATTTTGTAAATATTTTAATTATAGATTAATCTAATTACTATAGAAAAGATTTTTAATGTATAATTAAAAATAAAAATAAATTTAGATTTGTCATATTAATGATAATTAGAATTAAATTTTGATTACTATAATAACTTGAAATAATATACTATGATGACCGAAAATTTAATTATACAAATATTCAAGAAGGAGTTTACCTATCAGCCGTGAAATTATATTATACCGAAGCACCTAAAGAAAAATTAATTTGTAAATTAAAACTTTTTTTAATTTTTTAATTTTATAAGTTTATGATATGATTTCAAAGGATTAAAAATTATAAAGTAAAGAAAATTAGTAATTGATTTTCGCTTTAAATTAGTAAATTAATTATTATATTTATATAATTTAACAGATATAATGCCTTTAATAATATCAATGAAGAAAAAAGGATTTGAGAATAAGAGCAAAACCAATAAAGATAATCTAAAAGTAGCAAATTTTACACTATTGTTTATTAGAATATGTATGATTAATTGAAGAAATATTCCACTATGGGAATTACATCAATTAATTTCATTGGACCATAATATATAATTAATACTCTAAAACCTATATTTATGTTAATTGCCAAATGTTGCTTCCAGTAAAAGTTACCAATAATACTTCGATATTATAAAAATTGATACTTTATTTTTTATATACGTGTACTTGTAAAATTTTTAGTATATATTATTATGTAGGTATTTTATATATAAGATAATATGAAGAAATGATCGATAAGCCAATTGTAAACAAATTAATAACTAATCAGAACATTCATTCAAATAAAAAAATTTGACAGAAGTTTTTATTTGTAGAGAACTTTGTGAAACAAAAACCTGCTGTGTTTCAATTAAAATTGATTTGATGAAACTAAGTTTCAGAAATAAAGGAATAGTCATATGGGTAACACAAACATGGGAAACATCGATAACGTCAAGACCTAAAAAACGAATTTCATTTCAAAATTCCGTCTTCTTTTAATAGCTCCTGTTTTCGTTTTATTATTGTTAATTCCATTGGTTTCATATTTCCTTCCATTGGGTTCTTAATATGAAATTCTCTAAAAAGAGCTTGACTATAATGGCAAATGTATGAACATAAGATGCGGGACTTTATTTATTTTAATCAAGAGACGTTTCGCAAAAGGAGAGAACTCATGAAACAAAAAAGCCCCACTGAAACTTAAAAATAATTCTCCCCAAAAAGTACAAAAAAAAAGGTAAAATGGCGACATCCCAATATTGTTACATCAAATAAACTAAATTTTCCAATTGGAAAGCCTTGTCCATATATGGTGAGAGACTTCTTAAATAGATTTTAGAAATCTAAAAATAAATAATATTGAAACAAATGATATATGATTGGCATATACACAAAAAATTAATTTACAAAAAACAGGTTTATTAGACAAAAGGCACTACTAATACAAGTTATAAAAAAATTTTTTTTATGGCACAAATCTGACCATGAATATATTTATTTTTTTATACAAGTTATATAAAAAAAAAGATTTTAATTCTTTGGTAATTCAATTTTTATGAACGTTTTGATGAATTTACTTTATTAATATAATTTTTTTGTTATAAAAGAACGACGACTTCTACGACTTCCAACATTTATAAAAATAAATAATAAATAAAATAATCATTAAAAAAAACCCATTAAAGGACCCAAAAAATCCCATTAAAAAACACCAATCTTATATAATGTCTACTTTTGATTTAGAAGTATGTTCTAATTTTATAAGAAAAAAATTAAATATATATTTAACACTTGTTTATCTCGTTTATAGACCGATGACCAAATTAGGAATTTTATGCAAGGTGAAGGGAAATATCATAGTTCACCGTATATGGAAATGAGTCGCCGTCTCCCTAAGTTCACCCCCAAACAAATATGTAATAGGTAAATTATCAATATTTTAATATTTTATCTATAAATTTTATTTTTCAAGAAATTTTATTCATGATTTTCTACGACTTTCTTTCAATCATAAATTTTAGGTGGAATTATAAGCTCAACCCTCGCCGTAATTAAAAATTTATGTTTGGTTTACTCTTTTTTTTTTGTTTTAATAAAAAACTAAAATTAAATCTTTTCTCTTCTTGATCAGTTACGAATGATCGTTTCACGCAGGAAGAAAAGGATTTAATATATGAATGGGTTACAAAAAATATGAAAGGAATTTGATGGTCTCATTGCTAAAAGGTAATGGAGAAAAATTCAATAAATTTCGTGCTGTCAATAAGATCCAAGGAATGTGGCTCACACATCGTAGACACTTCGAACGCGGTATCAAAAAACCCAAAATTTCTGGTACTAATACTATTATTGACTTATATCATCGTTCAAACAACAACACCATTATTGTCTTCAACCCCTCTTATACTACCACCTTTGTCTTCTCGAATGTCCCTCTTCTTCGACCTCGACCGCGTTTACCAGATTCCGAAAATGATGCCTTTGTTTTAAACCCGTCGGGATTTATTACCATTCGGTAGTATTAAGCGTTTTTTTTTACTCTAAATGTTTTTAATTCCATTAGTAACGTTTGCACTAGTTTTTTTTTTGTTCTTTAATAAGATCATTTAGATCATTTATAACTTGGGATATTAAAAATTATCTAATCGATCAAAATGACACCTGATTTAAATTTTTTTTTCCCTTTATTTCAGCATTCACCCCATATAGCTATTAATATTTCCATTATTACAATATATTTTTATTATTTATTTAAATTTGATTTTCATAAGGATTTAATAACAAATTGATAATAAAAATTGTTTTATAAAAATTAATAATGCCATCCATTCTGCATAATAAATATTATGTAAAATTTGCAAATTTTTCATATAAGTTAAACGCGCTTTTGTTTCCGTCCCAATTTATTTCATAACAATATTATCCTCCATCCGAATAATTCAATTCTTTTACTTTGAAGTAACTGGACAGATAAAAAAAATTAAAAAAATTTCATGAGATGATACAATTACGAAATATTCATAACTCTACAACCATTAATATCCTATCTTGATAGCATCATTGAGAAAGTCAGTTGTTCAAAGTAGAGAATTGTCAAAGTGTAGTTATTCGAACGTGGAATATAGCAAGATTTAGCTTTAGTGGCTAGGATGATATCTTGCAAGTCATCCAATCATAATAAAAATTATATGCACATATTTTTTGAACCCGCTGAGCAACTTTACTTAGGAGCCCAAAGTCGATTTCCTTTGAGTACTCAAATATCTCTTTTGAAATAATGGAACAGATAAAAAAAAATTAAAATAATTTGTTGAATATAAAAAAATTGTTTTTAAACTTTTTGATATAATAAATTACAAATAATATATAATTGACTGACCTGATGTTGTCTACTTGACCTGGATTTTTCAGGTCAGGTCGGGCAAAAATCATTATTGCTTCTTCAAGAATCCTACAAAACTTTGTGTTGAAATTAAAATTTCTATAGTAAAATTAGTGGGCACTTGATGTCCCTTTTCCCCTTATATGTTACATGAATTAGCACTTTCTACTTTCTACTTTTAATTTCAATTCCAATTCAATCAATCCACTTTCTACTCTTTCTAAATTTTTTTCTGATTTATTTTATTAATTTGACAATAACTCTATTGAAGTCGCATAATATGAACTTGCACATTTATATAGAAAGGGTAAAGAACAGAAAAGAATTTAGAAAATGCATTTTTTATATTTTAAACAAATATCAAATGAATTGAATTGATCAATGAATGGGTGAAAATTTATCTACGAGTACTGGGATTATTCTCCTACACCTCCTACACTCAAACAAATAAATTTTAGTGTTTTTAAATTTTTCTATTTTATTAGGAATTACATAATTACATTGTTCATTGTTACATTCATTTAATTAATCGTTACGTTCTTTTATTTATCTCATAAATAGAGATAAATCATCAAAACTTTATTAATGATATGTTCAAGGAAAGGCTAAATATACTAAAAAAATATCAAATATCGTAATAATATTCATAAATAATAACAATTGAATGCTTGAAATAACAAAAATCTTCCTAGACGCTTTCCAAACTAATTTAAGTTTGTTGCGATGTTAAGAATTGAAAATAAAAAAAAAATCTAAAAATTTAGTTTAGAATATCTTTACCTTGTTTTTGGAATCATTCTGCATTCTTTCATTTCCTAATCCATGGAATGGTTAAGTTGTTACAAACCACCCTGAACGTTTCTTTCACCAACGAATTCCTCTTCGTTTGAGATCAACCTTCTTGCAAAAAATCATCGAGAATTTGTGGCACAGTAATTTTCATTAACGTGACGACCAACTTGAGCGAGATATTTGCGTTTAAAGTTACCCATTTATATACGTCTATTATGATCCTAATATCTTTGATTAAAATTAAATAATTTTAACAGTTCATATTATTTTGCATTTGGGAAAGTGGTTATCGAAGTTATATTCAAAAAAAAAATCCATTTTTTTTTAAAAAAAAAAAAGAAATTTAAAATTAACATAATCCACAAAATTATGTCGTGAATGATGATAGTGGTGGCTGTGATGGGCATGGTGGCCTTTGCATGGTTTTCGTTACATCATTATTACTTTTCACGAAATTAAATAAACTAAAAACATTATCTTTCCTTGTTAAT